GTAGCTGCGGGCGCGCTCTCCGGAGCCAAAGTGGCCGGAGCCCGAGCGGCCGACGCTGAGATCCATGCCATTGTAGCCGTAGCCGTACCTGCCGGAGTGCATGCTCGCCGAGTCCCTGAATTGCTCGCTCACGGAACTATGATCTCCATAATTATGCAACTGGTAGTCCGGGCCATTTGGATAGCGACCGCAAAATGAGTTTACAAAATAAGAGCTCATTTGTTTTTTGATATGTGTGCTTGATTTGTGGCTCGCGGTCGTTTGTGCGTCTATAGCACCCTTGCACAATTTATGATGAATTATGGAAATGACTGGGACATGTACTTGGTTCCCTCCTACGTAGGCACCCAAATATGGGGTACGACTTCGAATCACGTGCTTTTGTTGTCCAGTCGTAAATCCTGCCTGATGACCTCTAGAGGTAAACTCGTGCACTAATGGGGGAGTTGGGTGGAGGCGAGAGGGGTGGCGCGCGCGCCTCGGGCGCGTGCTCGCCGCCAGTTGCCGCCGTTCAGTCGGACTCGAGCGCCACCCGCTGGAGGCAGGGCGCATCGCCCAGTTTCCGACCGGGGGCTGCAGGGCCGGGGTCGAATTGAGGTTACAGCCCATTATGGCAAAATTATTGCATTTCCCTCGCAGTTCCATTAGGATGTACCAATTGTTAGGCCGTCAGCTGCCGATCGCGCGCCCGGCGAGGATACAGGGGATTGGGGGGAGGTGGTGACTTGCATTTTATTTACAACAACTTTATTTCCCCCGTTTTGCAGCCCCTCTTATTTTTGTGTCGAGGTTGGGGTCGGTCCTGCCCGTCCTGCCAGCAGCTCTGAATTTTGAAAATGCAGATATCACCTTCGGGGAAGGGGGAAAGCCATTTAGCCAACTGGATAAATAAATCCTGCCCGCAGCAGCAGCAGCTACAATTACGGCTCTGTTTTTGCGAGCGCATGAGGGACAGTGTCCCTGCCGCTCTTAAATGACAGGCGTCTATTAAAGATAGCTTTTGTGTAGTGTTTCTGCAAGGCGAGGTCAAATTCCATACACTTTTATAACCGTAGTCGATTTTTCTTTCGTGTGAATATGGTTTTCGTGTCATTAGTTTGCTATTTGATTTGCTTACGTATCCAGCCTGGAAAATCTTCATCACAGGGTCCGGTTCCTCGAGCCAGCCGGACCCCAAGTTGGAGGGTTCTCCTTGAACCCAGCGAGTGGGCCCAGGCTCCCTGCAGCCACAGAGGCTGCTTGGGGTCTGGGGATCCGTGGGGCCGGTTACTGGGGTCTTGCTTAGACCTCCAGGAGTAAAATGAGGGCGATAATGGAAGCATTTCGTGGCAGTGCGTAGTATCTCTGTAGTTATTTTCCACGGCTCCGAAAGACTCAAGTAAATCACAAATATAGCTGAGAGGCAAGTGGAGTCTCCCCGCTGGAGGCCCCGCGTTGCAGGCGCCCCTGGCACGTCTGGAAGCCAGGACTCTGGCGGCTTCCATGGCCCTGGGCCCCTCGTTGGGTCCTGAACGCTGCTGTGGCGGCGACGCGGGCGCTATCGGAGGCAGGGAGCGGGATTCTGGAGCCGGGGGCCTGAGGGATCCCAGGGGCTCCCCGGGCTGTAATGTTCCACCCGCGCCCCGGTTAGCTTGCCTCGGCTGAGGCTGCTTCTTTTCCACTGACGGTTGCACACGCGGGACCGAGAGACTGGGCTCTGTTGGGGCCCCCTTTGTTCCTTGAGCTTCCTGTTCTGGGAGGCCGCTTGGGAGGCCGCGACAAGGCCGGGCTCCAGCACTTAGAACCCCTCTTTCCACTGGTCAGAGATAATTTGATGATGCCCTTCGGGACCTACTGGCGAGGGACCTAGGCACAGACTCCCAGACGCGAAACGGGGCTCCGCCCAGGGCTCTTTCCTCCCTAGCAGCTCGGCGTTCCGAGGTCGGGGAGCTCAGAGGCACTAGCACAGCAGCCCCGGACGCATTCAGGGCGCACCCCAGAACTCGGGAGCCGGTTTGGGCAGCCTTGTGGAGCGGGACTGGGTGTGTGCAATGCGCCCCGCTCCACCGCTGGTATTGGCTGTGTGTGAAGTTTTGTTTTGTTTTGTTTTTTAAGAAATAAATGCACAGACGCTTGCAAAGCTCCGGGCTCCCCTGAAGTTGCGGAAGCCCCCGATGGGAGCAGGCGGGGAGAAAAGTTGGGGAGCAGGCGAGGGCAAGGGGGCAAAGCCGAAGGAGGTTGCAGCGCTGGCCTGGTCCCTGCCCAGGCGTCTACTCGTCCGCCTTTGCCTCTGAGTCCTCCCCGCTGGGCTGCGTGGAATTGATGAGCTTGTTTTCCTTTTTCCACTTCATGCGGCGGTTCTGGAACCAGATCTTGATCTGGCGCTCAGTGAGGCAGAGCGCGTTGGCGATCTCGATGCGGCGGCGCCGTGTCAGGTAGCGGTTGAAGTGGAACTCCTTCTCCAGCTCCAGTGTCTGGTAGCGCGTGTAGGTCTGGCGGCCTCGGCGCCCATGGCTCCCGTACACAGCACCTGCGAGCAGAAACAGCCGGGCGCCGGTAAGCCAGGACCTGGATGGTTGACCCAGTCAGCCTAGTGCCTCCCACAAGGGGCATATGAACTGAAAACCACCCCGCCTCCACTCCAGCCTCTCCCACTATGTCTGGGGCCCAAAGCATACTGAATGGGAGATTATTTCATACCAAGCGAGATGTTTTCCACCTATAACGACTTGGGGTGGACATTATTGTTTTTGAAAAATCTGCTTCATAGGAAAATCATTACAATCAAAATAACAGAATGGGCATTCTTAATTTGGGACGCCCAGGTCGTGTTTTTGTGGGGATGCAGGGTGTGTGTGTGGGGCGGGGGGGAGGTGTGGAACCATCTAAGTAGTGTACACACTCTGAATTCATAGTGGTCTCTCTGAGGATGCTACTGTGACCAGCCATGTCAGAACTCAACACATTCTTTGAAGAGTTAAAAATGGTCAGCCCTCTTGAATCTTTACACATTCTCCCATATTATATGACCCTTCTGAGAAATGCAGAACTCACCCAAGGATAAAGTGGATTTTAACGCAAACCATTATAATTTTAACAATCCGCATTAGGCTCTGTCCTAGGGAATTCCTAGGAGTCTTTGGGATTCCCTGTGGAGTCTTTGGAAACCAGAGGCTAAGAGATGGAGCTATAGTTAGTCTAGGATTTCTAGCAATGTAGGATTGTGTTGGGCTGTCTGATCTGTGCCAAAGATCCCCAAGGGTGGTGGGGATCCCTCCAAGACAGGTGTATGAACTCAGGCATGGGCTCAGAAGGAGGCAGAAGTTGGCTAAGAGTGAGCAGTTGAGTGGAAGGGGGAGGAGGTGAGGGAAGAGAGAGAGAAAAAAATCCTGAGTCTGGGGCTGTGGCCCTCCAAGGCTTTGGGGAGACACTAGAAGAGGCCAAATGGCCACCTCTCTCTGTACGGGTTTCTGAAGGGCAGAAAGGAGAGGGGGTTGGGAAGCAAAGGGTATTTATCAGTGACCAGTGCAAAAGGCCCACTGGCTTGGGAAGCTGAGCAGGGTACCCAGGGTGCATGGGTCCCCACCAGCCTCTCTCTCTCTTCAGGCTGTCCCTGTCACAGGTCTCATATACGTCTCAGTGCCCCCATCCTCCCCTAAAGTGTCACCTTACATGGACACTGGGGCTCTGCCCTTCCTCTGCCATGGCCTGATTGCCCCATTGGGAACTGATTTTTTCTTCTCTTTTAAAAAGTCAAAGAAACTTTGCTAGTTCTTTCCTCCTTTCTCTCTATTCCTTTTTCTACTCAGTTTCCTCCTTCTTTCTTTCTTTTCCTGCCTCCTTTCCCCTCTCCCTCCACTGTCTTGGGATATGCCTTACCCGCGCAGGAGTTCATCCGCTGCATCCAAGGGTAAACGGGACTCGAGTACTTCCGGTCGGCGCCTTCGTCATGGAGTGCTTTGCCCTGCCCGCTGCTGCTGTCGGGTTTGTACTGCTGCTCGGGAGAAAAGTGCAGGTAGTCCCCGGGGCCCCTCTGCTTGCCACTGCCCGAGGGCGAGGCGCCACTGAGGTCCTTATCAGAATAGAAACACGAGGCCCCGTACTCGTAGGACGCCCGGTTGCAGGCCAGGACAGAGTTGGACTGTTGGTAGAAACAAGGTGAGGTGTACGTCTTGTCCGGGAGACTCGACGCCCCGTACGAGGCCGGGAAGGGCCTCAGCGCGTCATAGCCGGCCTGGTAGAGGGGCAGCTGGCCCAAGAAGGAGTCCTGGCCGCTGGACAGGCTCCCGGGGAAAGTGGGATTCACAAAATAGGAACTCATTTGCGCGCCCCTCTGCAGGACTGTGATTTGTTGTGTATTAGTACATCTGGCTATAACTATTAGTAGTCATCGAACTGGTTTGTTTCTGGATGGCCGAACGCCAAAAGCGACAGCAGCAAATCGCACCAGCTGACGCCGCGGCGGCCAATGGCAGCGAGCGCCAGAGCCCGCTCCCCAGGGACCGCGGCGACCGAGGCAGCAAAGTTACAAACAGCCCCCAGCTCGCCCGCCCGCCGCCCGCCCGGCAGATTAATGGGCGCGCACAGCCAGCCGGCCCGGCTCTCTTCCCGAACGCCAGCGGCGGGCACTGCCCGTTCAGGGGCGAGCCGATCAGGCCAGAGTAGGGACACTAACGCTCGGGCCGCCGCAAAGGCCCCGCCAGGCCCACTCCTTCCTCCTCCCCTTTTTGCTTTATTAAATTTTGCGGGTTCCCACCCCTCCTCCTCCAAACAGGAAACCTGAAGGTCCTGCGCCAGGAGGGGCGGTGACAAAGGTGGCTTTGCTCCCTGCCGGCCTGCACTCCAGGCATGGCTCCGAGTTGCCCCTCCCCTAGCGCTCCCCTATTAGTGGGTGCGAGTTCTTGAGCTGGAGCAAGGGCCATGAGAAACCAGGCCTTCACTCTATGCTCTTCACTCGTGCGCCTTAGCAATCGGTGAACTCCCTTATTCTCTCCTTCTCCACTCGCACCAGGGGCCTGGGCCTTGCAGCCCAGAGCTGAAGGATCACCTCGAGCTGACCAGGACTCAGTCAAACGTAGGTTCTTCCCACCCATTCCCTCCTCCCACATACACATCCTGTTTGAGTCCCAAGGGGCTCAATGGCCCGCGCCTGCCTGGTCTTAAAGCACCCCTTCCAGCTGGGCGTCCCCATCCCACCTTTGAACCCAGGGAATTAAGAGGCCAGAAACCACTGGTTTTAACAAGAAAGGACCGACAGAGCAGCGGCCGTGAGACTGGGCTCCTAAGCCAGCCGAG